TGATCTCGGCTCCACTGCACAGCTCCCTGCCCTGGGTTTCACGCCCCCATTCTCCTGCCTCAGCCTTCAAGGTAGCTGGCGACTACAAGGCCACCTTTGCCACTTACGCCTGGCTAATTTTTTTGCATTTTTAGTAGGAGACGGGGGTTTCATCATGTTTAGCCAGGCGATGGGCTCAATATCTCCTAACTCCTTGGATCCTCCGCGCTCAGCCTCCCAAAGTGTGGATTACAGGCGTGAGCCCACACCCGGCCGCAAACAAGACATTTTCACAAAGAGAAGAGATACAAAGCATAACAAAAAGGAAAAACTTTTGTTAACCCTTGGTTTTTTTTCTTTTTTTTTCTTTTTTATTTTTTGAGATTGGAGTTTTCGCTATATTGCCTGGCTTGGCCTTGAATCCCAGGCTCAAGCCTACCTCAGCTCCCAAGTAGCAGGACTATGAGAGGTTACATTTGCCGACTGTACCAAGGCGTAAAACCCTGTAATTTTTAAATTTAAATTGTTAAGTATCAATGTAAACCATTTTTTTTCTTCTATTTCAAAAGATGTGTATTTTCATGGCTTAGGCAAAGGTGGACTTCACACCTATAAATCCAGCACTGTTCGGAGGCTGAGGCAGGAAGATCACTTGAAGCCAGGAGTTTGAAACTAGCCTGGGCAATATAGCAAGACCCCATCTCTAAAAAAAAAAAAAAAAAAATTGCTAGGGATGGTGGCACATGCCTGTGTTCCCAGCTACTTGGGAGGCTAAGGTGGGAAGATCACTTGAACACAGGAGTTTGAGGCTGCAGTGAGCGAGCCATGATCGTGCCACTGTACTCCACCCTGGGTGACAAAGCAAGATTTTGTCTCTAAAAAATAAAAAATAATTTTAAATGTGTATTTTCTAGCTATGTCTGTAAGTAAGGCCTAGAATAAATGACAACCTAGTATCAAATTAGCACTCCAGCACCCAGATTGTGGTCTCTAAATATCGTACCTACATTAAAGAAAAAAAAGCTCCTCAGAGAAACAGCAGATTACAAGTTTGGGGCAGGATATGTTCAGGAGGTACTTGGGAATCTTACTGGTCCAGAAGGCAAGGACTAGTGTATCAAAGATAGATGACATCACATCAGAAGAACACAGGAACCAGTCTGAAAGAACTCTCGCTGCTCTAGAATTTGATCATCAAATGAATGACAGCAATGAATTCAAACTCATCAAATGTATACATATACATATATGTACTTAAATACATGAGTTAATAATATTTAAAACAAAGGAAAAATCAACTTCTAAAATGGTAGAATGATTATCACAGTGAACCCACTCTCCCATAAAAGAACAAAAAGACTGGCTAAACAATGAAAATCAATCATTTCAAAGTCCTAAAATTAACCAAAGGCACAGAACAAACTAAAAAGCATCTATTGAAGATAAGCCACTAAACCTCAGTTAGAAGAGCGAAATATGACATTTTAAGTTGGGGCTATTCCCTTCTCTCTTCCTTCTCCAGTGCAAAAAGAAAATTTTAGAACTGAAAATAACCCAATTAATAATAATAATAAAAAAACTCTATGGATAAGTTCAACAGCAGAATGAAGCAGACAAGAAAGAATGAGTAAAATTGAAGACAAAACAACAGAAAAAACCCAATCTAAACAACAGAGAGAAAACATTAAAAAAAAAAAGAAAAATGAAGACGGTCTGAGAGACTTATGGGACAGTAAGAGAAGCTCTAATATTAGTTTTATTAAAGTTTCAGTAGAAGGAAAAAATGAAGACTGAAAAAGTATTTGAAGAAATAATGGCTAAAATTTTTCTAAACCTGGCAAAAGATATAAAGTCCCTAAACTCCAGAAGCTAAGTAAACCCCAAACAAGATAAACCCCCCAAAAAATACACCAGACTCAAACTTCCAAAAACTAAAGGAAAAAAAAAATCTTAAAACTAACAAGAGAGAAACCTCTCTTTTAAAGCAGAGCGTTGGGGGTGGGAGGTGGGAGAGTGTCCAATAACAGCAGATTTCTCATCAGAAACCATGGAGGCCACAAAGAAGTAGCACAATTATTTTCTGAGAGCTGAAAGAAATGAGTTTTCAACCCAGGATTCCATATCCAGCAAAAATATCCCCCAATAATGAAGGGGAAATCAACACATTCTCAAATGAAAGGAAATGAAGACAATCTGTCACTAGTAGACCTCCTTTAAAAAAAGGGTTAAAGCCGGGCGTGGTGGCTCACACCTGTAATCCCAGCACTTTAGGAGGCCGAGACAGGCGGATCACGAGGTCAGGAGAACGAGACCATCCTGGCTAACATGGTGAAACCCTGTTTCTACTAAAAATAAAAAAAATTAGGCAGGCGTGGTGGTGGGCACCTGTAGTCCCAGCTACTCGGGAGGCTGAGGCAGGAGAATGGCGTGAACTCGGGAGGCGGAGCTTGCAGTGAGCCGAGATAGCACCACTGCACTCCAGCCTGGGCGACAGAGCGAGACTCCGTCTCAAAAACAAACAAACAAACAAACAAACAAACAAAAAAAAACAAAAAAAACTAAAGAAAATTCTCTAAATAGAAATGAAGTGACAAAAGAAAGAATCTTGGAAAATCAGGAAAAGAATAAATGACAAGAGAAATAGTAAAAATACTGAAAAATATAATAAATTTTCCTTCTCTCAAGTGTTCTAAATTATATGTTTGACAGTTTAAACAAAAACGTTAAGCATGTCTGATGTGGTTCTCAAAATATGTAGAGAAAATATTTAAGGCAATTATATTATTATATAAAAGAGAGTAAAGAGACATAAAAGTAGGAAAGGTTTCTATATTTCACTCAAAGTAATAAAATGAAGACTGTGATAAGTTATATATAAGTAATATAATACCTAAAGTAACTGCTAGTAAGTGCTACAAGAGGATATACTCAAAAACACTACAAATCAAAATGGAATTCTAAAAAAAAGTTCAAGTAACCCACAGGAAAGCAGAGGGGAAAAAAAAAAACCACAGGAGCCAGTCTGAAAGAACTCTCACTGCTCCAGAGAAACAAACAAACAAACAAAAAACAGAAAAAATAAATAAGCAAAAAAAGCAGACTTGAATCCAAACATATCAATAACTACGTTAAGTATAAATGATATACATACAACCCATAAGGCCAGAATTTTTAAAACTTAGTATATGCTGTATCAAGAACCTTATTTCAAATATAATGATACAGCCATGTTGAAAAGGATGAAAAAGATATATCATGCAAACGTTAATACAAGAAAGCAGGAACAGGTAAATCCTAGAGACAGAAAGTAGCTTATGGATGCCAGAGTCTGGGTGGAAAAGCAAAAGACGACTAATGGTTTGCTGTGATGGAATATTCTGGAATTAGATAGCAGTGACGGCTCGAAAACTTCCTGAATAGACTAAAAACCTCTGAATTATGTACTCTAAAAAGGTTGATTTTATGGTATGTGTATTGCGTCTCAAAAAAATCATACTTCAATGAAGTTTTTTGAAAAACCTCAACAACAAAAAAGCCAATCTTTATTAATTAAAAATAAACCAATTAATAATAAGCCAAAGACATGAAGAGCTATTTCACTGAAGAGGATACAGAGATGCCAAGTAGGAACATGTAAAGATGTTCAATATCACTGGTGGCCATTAGGGAGGTACAAATTAACACCATGATGAGCTGTCACTACCCACCTATCAGAATGGCTTAAACAAAAGTAATGACACCACCAGATAACAGTGAGGATGTAGAGAAACTAGATCTCTCATATACTGCTAGTGAGAATGTAAAATGGCACAGCCACTCTGGAGCATAATTCTGCAGCTTTACTAAATATGATCTAGTGATTGTGCTGCTGGGTATGTACCCCAGAAAAATAAAGTATTATATACATAACTGTTAATAGCAACTTACATGTTTGTAACAGCCAAAAACTGGAAAAAAACAAAATGTACTACAATAGATGAATGGTTAACCAAACTGTAGTACATTCATGACTACTCCACCACAATAAAAAGGAACAAACTGTCAATATACGCAAGAGCTGGGATGGATCTCAAGGGCATTATTAAAGCCCATCTCAAAAAGCCATGTACTGTGTTTTTCTATTTATGTAACATTCTTTAAATGACAAAATTATAGAGATGGAGAACAAATTAACAGTTGCCTGGGATTAGGGAAAGTGGGGAGAAGGAGGATAGGTGTGGGAACTCTTTGTGGTGATGGAATAGTTCTGTATTTTGACTGAGGGGATGGTTCCAGGAATCTACACATGTGATAAAATGATATAGAATTACACATTCTTTATACTAATATCAATTTCCTCAGTTTTATATCATATTATAGTAACTAATGAGAGAAACTGGGTGAAAGGAACATGAAATCTGTCAGTAAGTACTATTTTGCAAACTCCTGTGAATGCATAATTACTTCAAAATAACTAGAAAGTAATCATCAAAATGTTAATGCTATTTTAAAAAAGAAGTCTGTTCATAACATTTTTTTTTTCTTTTTTCTGTTTTTTGAGACGGAATCTCGCTCTGCCCAGGCTAGAGTGCAGTGGAGCGATTTCGGCTCACTGCAAGCTCTACCTCCCGGGTTCACGCCATTCTCCCGCCTCAGCCTCCCGAGGAGCTGGGACTACAGGCACCTGCTACCACGCCCGGCTAATTTTTTGTATTTTGTTTAGTAGAGATGGAGTTTCACTGTGTTAGCCAGGATGGTCTCGATCTCCTGACCTCGTGATCCGCCCACCTTGGCCTCCCAAAGTGCTGGGATTACAGGCATGAGCCACTGCGCCTGGCCTTGTTCATAATGGTTTCTTATTTTTTCAGCAAACATTATTAGTAGCCCCTAGTGCCAGGTTCTCTGACAGGTACAGAAGATGGCAATGAAAAACAAGACTTCAAACAGCTTCCAGTTCAGTGGTAGAGAAATAGACAATATAACACAGGCAAGTAATATAATTGTGCATCCTAGAGAATAAATTCTGAGAATAAAACCAATACCTGCATCAAGCTGCTGCTCCCCGTTCATTTCCACAGCATATAGGCTATATCCTCCCAACACAAAGGAAAGGCCTATGGTTCTGCTAGGATCTGAAGATTACTTGCAGGTTTCAAGCATCTGTTCAATGGGTATCCAAGGGTCCAAATGAAAGTGCTGAAAAATGAAAAAGAACACATAAACAGCCTGAAGCCCAAGCGTACTCACTCACTCATAAAACAGGGCACTCAACTGGTTGAGAGATCAGATAAGATAAAAACGTACTGGCAGAACAGATAGGACTGGAGGAAAAAATTGACACTTTCTCTAATTTTGAAGAGTCAGTATGTGTATGTGTGCGCTCATGTGCGTCTGTATGTGTAGAGAATGCACACTATCGAGAATTCGATAATAAATCTAAAACTCACAACAAAGATGCATATGAATCATTACCCTTTAAATTTACATTACCATACTTAGCACCAAGATTCCTATCCACAAAACTCCAGTTCCTAATGGTTTCCTAGGGAGAGGGGGGAGTTAGCTTTCAATGCTGTCTTACACAACAAATATGATTCAAGATTCAGTATTACTTTATCTAATTTTCCATTTCATTTATGTAGAATATTATGCAGAACCATAAATATCAACTGTATTAGCCTACAATTACAAAGAGAATTCCTCCAAAATAAGTTTGGAACCTGCTTATTCTTTTTTTAAAAAACAGCTTTAGGGTTGGATGTGGTGGCTCACGCCTATAATCCCAACACTCTGGGAGGCTGAGGTGAGAGGATCACTTTGAGCCCAGGAGTTTGGGACCAGCCTCAGCAACATGGCAAAACCTTATCTGTACTAAAAATACAAAAACTAGCTGGGTATGGTGGTGCACGCCTGTAGTTTCAGCTACTCGGGAGGCTGAGGTGGGAGGATGGCTTGAGTCTGGGGCACAGAGGTTGCAGTGAGCCAAGATCACACCACTGCACTCCAGCCTGGGTGACAGAGCCAGACACTGTCTCAAAAAAAGAAAAAAAAAAGCTTTATTGGGATACAAATCACATACCAAAATTTCCCATTTCAAGTGTACAAATTAATAATTTTTAGTAAATGTACAAAGTGTAACCATCATAATTGAATTTGAGAATATTTCTATTATCCTGAAAAAAAGCCAAATGCCCACTTGCAGTTCCTTCCCATTCCATCCCTAAGCTCAAGCAACCATTCATCTGCTTTGTCTCTACAGATTTTGCCTTTCCCAAACATTTCACATAAATGGAACCATAAGAAATGTGGTCTTTCATACTTGGTTTTCTTTCACTTACATTTTTGAGGTTCATCCATGTTGCAATATGGATGAATCTATTTATTCTTGCCTTACATACATGTAAAATAATCTAAGATATTATCTTAATATGTGCCTAATAGATTAGAAAGAGGAAATGAAAGGGAGAAAAGAGCTGCTTCAGGAAGGTAGGGCATGAACTAACTGCAAGAGCGACAATACAGAAAACTGTAGAATTGGCATGGGTACTTAACAGCACAGCTTTGGGGGCGATATTCTGCAGGATCAAGCAATTATATACCTCTCAAAAGTTTTGAGTGTGTATTAGACCCCCCAGTAAATGATTCTCATAAGCAACTTTAATCATGAAGAAAAAGCTTAGCTTTTAATACATCCTTATATCACTTTTATATATCTGAAAAGGTACCAGCTACCTAAAGGACAATAGCTTAAAATGGGTAGGGATGGCCGGGTGCATGGCTCATGCCTGTTATCCTAGCACTTTGGGAGACCAAGGCAGGCAGATCACTTGAGCCCAGGAGTTCAAGACCAGCCTGGGCAACACAGCAAAACCCTGTCTCAAAAAAAGAAAAAAAAAAAGCTTTATTGGGATACAAATCACATACCAAAATTTCCCATTTCAAGTGTACAAATTAATAATTTTTAGTAAATGTACAAAGTGTAACCATCATAATTGAATTTGAGAATATTTCTATTATCCTGAAAAAAAGCCAAATGCCCACTTGCAGTTCCTTCCCATTCCATCCCTAAGCTCAAGCAACCATTCATCTGCTTTGTCTCTACAGATTTTGCCTTTCCCAAACATTTCACATAAATGGAACCATAAGAAATGTGGTCTTTCATACTTGGTTTTCTTTCACTTA